TATGGTATTTGTGTAAACCTTTAGTTCCTGATTGAGTTGTATCTTGTAAGACAGATACCTGAGAATACAGACTGAGCCATATCCTGATTGATATTGGCTATAGTATTTGTGTGAACCCTAATTTTCTTAGATATCTTAGAATACAGGCTGAGCCATATTCGGATTGGCTATGGTATNGTTAGGTGATTGAATCAAAAAATCTTTAACTATTTCTAGAGGATTTAGAACACATTCCTAATTTAAAATGCGTTTCCAACTTAGAACCCGTTCTTGATCATAAGAACGCATTAATGATTTTAATCGTTCTTTTCAAACAATCCGTTCTGTTCCGTTCCGTTCTTTTACTGATTGTTCCAATATTTTTAAGAACCCGTTCTAAGCATTAATTTTTTTTTTAAACAATTAGATCGTTCTTGATCGTTCCGTTCTTTCTCGGGAAAGAACGACGGTTCCACCAGGAATGCGCCCAGCCCTAGCCTTATCTGGATGATATTAGCTATGGTATTTGTGTGAATCTTGAGTTCCTAGATTGAGATAAACCTGTATTGATACGTGTTTATAAGCGTTTATAGGAGTAGGGCATTTACTACAAATCGACCAAATCAAATTATTTAGGTTTTTTATCATATACGTGTGATTGCGTACGGTTTAAGGTTATAAAATAGATCTAGAATATGAGGGGACGAATTATTTGAATCTTAAATCTGTGACTACTGCTGCGTCAAACTAAATTAAATTGTACATCTATCTATAAATTTGGCTTGTCTGTCTGTTTGTTTGTATCCAATAAACGTCAAAACGGCTGAACCGATTCGGCCCAAATTTTTTGTGGGACCTCACGGAGCCCCAGGGAAGGTTTATGAATGATCAAAATTTCAAATATTTGTCTCCATCAAATTCGATCTTCATTAAATTTTTGAAAATTTTAAAAATCCACGAAATTTTTTGTGAAAATCCGGGATTTATTTTTGTTTTGTTTTACGATGTACACAAAGAGAACATATGTTCACAATTAATTTAGAAGATGGGCGCGAAGCGCCCTCTAAGGCTAGTATGATTTAAATCTTATATGCTTTCAATAATAACTCCTCTGATTGAAGATCTATTGAGAAAAACAAAAAAGTTTGTATTTCTAATGTGTAACCAGATAAATTTGCATTTCATACTGGTGAGAAAAATCAAAACTGGAGAAGCTACGATGTTACAAAGACATACTATTAATATTGCATATATTTTTTAACCAGTGGCGAAACTAGCACTTTTTTGAGGTGGGGGTAAACCACTGTANGGTTGGGGGTTTTAAAAATAAAGCGCTGTTTTCAGGATTTTAAGTAAAAAAAACAGCATTTTATAATTGTTGAAGGCTTGGCTCTGTATTCAATAATATACCAAATTCTGATTATATTCACGTCTTGTTCTTGTCTTTAAGTGTCTTTTTATTTATTTCCTATCATTTGTTAATCCCTGGTTTAGTCATATTTACTATGTATATTATTTGTATATGTATATGTATATGTATATGTATATGTATATGTATATGTATATTATTTATATATATTATTTGTCCACTATATCGTCGCTTAATCGTAGGTCTTTAGTAGGAAGTAGTTCCTGGCAGTACTTGACTATCTTTCGTCTGTCCATAAACCATAATAGTCCTTCTGATCGAAATCTCTCTGTCCTTTTTGCCAGTAAGGGGCTTATTCCTGTTTTCCTCTTTTAGTCTGCAAAAGTCCTAATAGTCCGATATAATCCTTATTTATATTTCTTGTTATAGATTGTCAGGTTTTGTGTAGTACCTTAAATGATATATGTATTGTAATACTCGGAAGAAGTAACATATTTACAGGTATTTTTTGAGAGAATAAATTAAGAATGACTGACTTTCTTTAAGTCTAAAACGAAAAAATAGTTAGAAGCGTCAACGAAAAATGTTGGTATTTTTTTCTTAATTGGCAAAATTTGATTAAAGATGGTCCACAATCATGATCATGCTAAGGTCAAGTGAAGGGACTGAGGGGGAGGGGGCGAAACTCGGTTCGCTCCCCCCTTAGCTAGTTGTGCCACTGTTTTTAACTTCTCCTTCTGTTTAGTTAACAGTGGAGCGCTAGCCATTTCTTATATATCACCGGATTTTAACTTAAATACTTCAATTTAAAAGTTTATATTATGGACATTACAAACAAAAGTTTTGTAATCCCGCTGCTGTCCTATCTGTGTAATCTGGCATTAAACTAAACTAGTTGGGATATTCAACTAATTAACAGAAAACATAAAGAGTGTATGGTATCTGTAAACTGAATAAAGGGGTTTTATTTATACTCTGAAAGGTAAATACTGTTTTTGTCGTGTCTTTCACTTGCGATAATGGGTACCTATTCATAGATTAATAACAATACATATAGAACACTAGATGTCGTCTTTTCAAGATTTAGGGTTTTTTTCATTCACGATAAGCCTAAGGCAGAAGCCCAAAGGAGTTTGAACAGGTTCTCTCTCTGTCTTGTAACTCAATGGGGCATGCGCGTAACTCCTGTGGGCTTCTGCCGCACGGATATTGAAATCTTAAAAGACGACATATAGTGTTCTTTCTGTGTTGTTATTTATCTATTGATGTATTTAAGAATTGAATATAACATTTTTGCTGTACACTTCTTTGTTTATGCGTTATACATCTCCTATTGTCTTTTTCGGGTCAACGAAAACGCTACTTCATGTTTGTATAAATAATTTTTCTATCGTATCTTTTGCAATTTACGCATTGAAAACAATCTCAGCTCTCAGTAATTTTTTCCATACCATTTTTTTCCAAGCTGTAGCGGCCCTGATCTAGTCAAAAATCATAAAAAAATTTTATGGATGGATTGCCCTACTTAAACATCGCAGGCTACAGGCATCAAGGGGCTGATTGTTGTGGACATGCAGGACATACTCTGGAAAGAAGATGATTACTTATATCAAAATTAAGATAAATCTAAAATTAATGTACCTGAAAAATTGACCTTTCCTCATAAAAAAAGATTTGGTCTGGAGAGGGGGGGGATATATATTTATACATATATTTATTGTCACCGGAGACCCATTCTTTTACCAGAGACTTTCCCTTTTTCATCGGAGAATCCTAGATTTTTATTGGAGAACAAATTCGATAAAAATGTTAGATCTCTGATAAACAATTAAATCTGGGGGGTCTCCGATGAAAATTTAGGGGGCTCCACTGAAAAAAAAGGGTCTTTTATGACAGTCTGGGGTTCTCCAATGAAAAAATGGAAGTTTCCAGCAATTCCGTAAAGGGGTCTTCTGTAAAAGGCAAGTGGTCTCCGATGAAAATCTATGGGTATCCAAGCAAAACCTGGTGTCTTCAAAGAAAAGTCTTGGTTCTCCAATAAAATTTGTGGTTCTTTCTTGACTAAAATTCAGCCCATTTGATTCAGCCGTTTGACCAGCCATAGAAAACATATATATGAACGAAGAGCTTCATAAGATAGATTACAATTGTACACCTACTTTTTTTCAAAACGGAAACTTTTACAGGTCATAATTATTAAACATTTAACATTGCAGATACAATAAACATTTAACATTGCAGATACAATAAACATTTAACATTGCAGATACAATAAACATTTAACATTGCAGATACAATAAACATTTAACATTGCAGATACAATAAACATTTAACATTGCAGATACAATAAACATTTAACATTGCAGATACAATAAACATTTAACATTGCAGATACAATAAACATTTAACATTGCAGATACAATAAACATTTAACATTGCAGATACAATAAACATTTAACATTGCAGATACAATAAACATTTAACATTGCAGATACAATAAACATTTAACATTGCAGATACAATAAACATTTAACATTGCAGATACAATAAACATTTAACATTGCAGATACAATAAACATTTAACATTGCAGATACAATAAACATTTAACATTGCAGATACAATAAACATTTAACATTGCAGATACAATAAACATTTAACATTGCAGATACAATAAACATTTAACATTGCAGATACAATAAACATTTAACATTGCAGATACAATAAACATTTAACATTGCAGATACAATAAACATTTAACATTGCAGATACAATAAACATTTAANCCCTCCCCCCCTCCAGAATTATTTTTGTATACGCACTTGAAATCAAAAGAAATTTTAACAAACATATAAAACATTCGTAACAACGTAGAAATTAAAAACCTGATTTATGATAGAAATAATTAAGAATACATATATTTATACATACATATTCTTATAATAATTTTAATCTAATATTTTCTACTAAAATGTTTTCTGTTTCTTAAATTTGATTTAACAAATGTTTGGTTTAAGAATTTCCATAAATTATTTTTTTAAATGTAGATTTAGGATCGAGCATGTGACATGAGCTATCCATGTTTAAACCAAAACAGAATGAACTCGTAGTTAACTTTTCGAAGGCTTTGCAAAAATTTAGAGTTTAAATGATTATCTTTGCAAATATTAAAATCAGCACTTCACTATGGAAGCCTCAAGCCATGAATCACTGCAGCTCTGAAATGAATGAATGAAATTTCCCAGGACAAGTTACAGAGAATTACAGGCAATATACATGTTCAATGTTTTTGCAGTTTATATTCGAAATAAGAAGAAATATTTATTTAGGAAATTCCACGCTATGTTCATTTCATTAAGAAACGTTTAGTCGATTCTATCACACATCACAAATTCCAGAATTATATATGTATGTAGTACATCACACCCAAACCAGGGATATTGAATTGACGTCAGGGAGGGGAGGGAGGAAGGACTTTCCCCAACATTATCAGATGCCGCCATGTTTTGTAAGTAACAACTGCGCAAGTATAAAAATGAACGCATGCGCAAAACCTTCTACGCTTGTACTCTTCTGCTCTCATACGCTGCTGGTAGAGATCCCCCCGCCCCGCCTGGGATTATGTGGGGCACTACAAGCATAGTTGTATAATGTACAGGCACGACCAGTTCACTTTTAACCTCTGAGCGGAGTAGAACCTACGCATCCGTTTGCGGATTTGTTATTGATTGTTATTACTTGTAAACTTAGACTTTGGTAAAGAACTCATTTGGAGAATGATTATGCCCCCATCCCTGCCTGCTGAATACCTAGATACCAATATGGCAGAGAGTTTATTTATTCAAGATTCAGATTATCTAGAAATCGAGACAGGGTTGTTGTGCCTCAGTTGTCGCAGGAGACATTCATCTAGATCATCATGTCAGTACAGCGGAGACAGAAAACCTACACTAAGAGAAGCTTACATCATTGGAGACTCCCTGGGAAAAGGAGGGTTCGGAATTGTATACTCCGGAATAAGAATGAGTGATAACAGACCTGTAGCCATAAAACATGTCGCTAAATGTAAGATTACATCTTGGGCAAGTCTTCACGGTGTCAGAGTACCCTTAGAACTTAAACTCTTGGTTGCAGTTGATTCTGTTCCCGGAGTTATTAAACTGCTGGACTACTATGAACGCTCAGATTCCTTCGTTTACATTCTAGAAAGGCCTCGATACACCAAGGATTTGTTCGACTATATCACACAGAAGAGTATGCTTGATGAAGCCATATCCCGGCATTTCTTTCGTCAAGTTGTTCAGGCAGTACAAGCTTGTTTTCATCAAGGAGTTATTCATAGAGATATCAAGGATGAAAATATACTAGTGGATCTATCAACAGGAGAGATAAAACTTATTGACTTCGGGTCGGGAGCTTTTTTAAAAGACGAAATTTTCACAGATTTTGACGGTAAGTTGCTGACAGATACAATAGCATAATAAGGAACAGGGGCGTATTCAGGCCCCTGGACCAGTGAAATCTATTGATTTAGTGGTTTTCAGGCCCAAACGGGTGCTGAGCCCCCCCCTGAAAAGATAAAAAATTAAGCCCCCCCCCCCCCACCTGGACAAAATCCAGAATACGCCCCTGAGAAGGAAACAACAATTACAACACAAATTTAAACTTTGATGTTAAAGTTGATATTATAAATAATAATAAACATTTTTAATGGAAAATAAATAGTTATAATTTAATTTAAAGTTTTTAAAAGAAAGAACAAATAAAGCCACTCAAGAATGTGTTTTACTTTAGAAGTAGAGAATGTACTTTAGTATTTACCCGGATGTGAGGGCACAATAAAAAGTCTAGTTTCATACTGTAACTTGATTCCTACATCTCTCTCTATGTTCTAGAAAATAGCGTGGTGGAGGGGGGGGGGGGGAAAATTAAAACAACAAGAATTTCATCGTTCGATTTATATTTTTTCTTTAATATTTGTATTACTTTCAGGAACCCGTGTGTATTCTCCTCCAGAGTGGATTAAGAATCAGCAATATAATGCCGAGCCCCTTACAGTCTGGTCCCTAGGGATCCTACTGTATGACATGGTCTGCGGAGACATACCCTTCGAGAAGGACGAGCAGATCTGCAAAGCTAAACTCGGATACAAACGAGATCTGAGCCCTGAGTGTCAGAACCTGATAGAGTCCTGTCTCCGAATACCCCCTGGAGAACGGTTAAGTATGGACGAGATACTCCTTCATCCGTGGCTCAGTCTCAGCGACAGGGAGGATGAGATATTCATATCAGACGTGGTTCATTGCAATCAGCCGAGCGGAGATAGTGCTGATTCAGCAGCCACTAATCAGTCCGACCAATCCTGATCATTCAATCAGCCAACCATTCGCGGATTTCATGAATATTTCCTACCAAATGCCATTGATCTCTAACTTTTGCATTTGTGGACGTTATCTTTTACATGCTGACAAGCTGAAAAGCGGACAAGCTGACAAGCTAAATAATAGTCAGGAAGTGCTAGAACTAAACCAAATAAACCTTTTTCTTAGAAGCATAGTTTTATACAAACCCTCAAAAGATCCGCCATTAAAACAGTGGAAAACAATGACAAAATTTATTGCTGGAAACACTGAACTATAAAACTTGTAATAAAACCTTAGGAACCAGTTAGTAATCAAAATACGCGGTTATCATAATTGTAAAATAAATTTACTGAACCCAAGTAAGATTTTTAAGAATTGAAGTTAAATTTGGGTGGGAAGAATATCACTTGTTTTGTTAAGAGTAAAATTAAACAATTGACCCAAAAACAAAATGTTTCGATTATTATTTCTACTTTTAGACACGACTTTCCTTCTGATTATTTTCCTTGGTTAAGTCTGTAAATATTGTCATCAGTGTTAAACTACACTCTAATCTAATAACTGTACCTCGCTCGCTGCGCTCACGCGCGCACTTGTTAATTATAACCTTATAGGTTTGTTGTACTTGTTGAACCCCTATTAATTGTTATTATATAAAATATATAAACCCTACCCTCTGTGGAGAGAAACAATATGAAATAGACTGTAGTTGGTTCTATTTAAAGATATATTTTCACAGCTTAGTAATTGTAGTTTTGTAAACAAATGTTTTGTCAGATGTTAATAAATAGATTTTTGAAATTAAATTATTCATGATTCATCTAAAGCTTGAGGAAAAGAAATAAGTATGAATTTGAGTCGGGACAACTTGTGCATATAACCATTTTTATTTCTCACCAAACCTGTTCTACTACAGTGGAAAAATTGACATTTTTTGTTCTTCCTTTGAACAAGAATTGTATCAGTATGATTTTGAAAGGTTATGAACATTCCCAAAACATTACCCCGACCAAATATATCCGCCATCGCAACCTCGTCCTCATGTCATAAAATTTTGATATTTCTATCTACGAATTGTGTCAGATTGCAAATATATTGGGATAAGAAACTTAAGAGTTTGTGGCGAGTGTTCTAATTATTTTTATAACTAATAATAACAAAGGACACAAACTCAAATTTTTAATCCCTTTATTTTTGGAACCTGAATGGGTAAACCTTTGATGATGTATAGTTTGAAATATCTCTGATATTGGGTTGCAAAGATTATGACATAAGAAAATCAGATTTATTGCTTTAACAAAGTTTATTTTACTAAACTTTTATGGTGTTGCACAATAATATTCAACTGTTTTTGGTTAACATTGCATTAGAACAGTAAGTATATTTTCTAAATCCATCATTTAATTTGGTTCAAAATTCAAACTTTGTTATTTATTATTAATTATTATTTATTTGAATCATTGCCACAAACTCTGATTTTCATTTATAATCCCCCTTTATCTTTGAAACCCAATTTCAAAGACCTTTGATATTTCAAGCTTTTAATTCTGCTCGATCAAATAATCTAAGTTTGAAATATCAAAAAAATACACCATCATGATGCAAAGATGTGGCTAAGACTCGATTCCTTTTTCTAGCTCTTGTCTACGAGTTCTGTTGCAAGTACAGCATATTGCGAAAAACTGTTTTAAGTAAAGAAAAGAAAAAAGAGAAATTTAACAAAAATAAAAAAATAAAAATTTCGAAAAAATTGTAAAAGAGAAACTCCCAAACTATTAAATGGATTACGTTTAATTTTAAAAATTCCATTATACTAAACTCGCATTGCCATACCCATAACCCATGCATTGACTGCTTTTGAAAAATTATGTCGCTTGGCCCTCCTTATCCTAACTCCTTTTACTAAACTCGTTTGATTTAATTTTTTGACCCAAATACAAATTACTTTTCCATATGTTACAATACAACATAAAAATTATTAATGTATAATCGAGATAGAGCTTATAAAGGATTAGTTGAATTGCAACCTTTTAAAATTGCAAGAAGTCTATACTCACAAAAATTAATACTTCGGTTCCAAACGATCCAAAGATTTTCCCTGTGGTCAACATCATGCAGTGAAATATACAGCGAAATTATTGGCGTCTTTGTTTATTCTCTTAATTAGAAAGATTCGCAAAGATTCAATAATTTAAATAGTTATAATTGCTTTATCTCTATAAATGTTTAGGGGCCATAGCTCATAGCCGGCCAAGAAAACATAATCATAGTTACAACAAATGCAAATTATAAATTCCCTGGCACAATTTCTGACAAAAAGACGTGCCGAAAATTATATTTAAGTTCTTGTGGGTATTACCGTAGAGTGAAAGTGTATGAATCTATAAATAAAATATTTCTTTCAACCATGAAAGTACATTTTACAGAGGTTTCGTGATTTAATTCTTCATAATATTAAGCTTCAAAGTTAGAAGGCTTCATAAACATGCTTCTAGCAAGAGGTCGTGCAGCAGAGGCAATCAATAAAAAGTCGTCATCAAATCTCATGTTTTCAAGGTCTGTGGTAATGAGATCATCAAACTAATCGTGAACTGTAACATTGATTTTGTTCATTGGATGTATTCTTTTCTTTAAAATCACGCTAACACCTAGCAAAATAAAAAGGGAGGATTAAGATCAAAATGAACAAGTAGACGCTGGAAATGGGAATAAATGAAACAAGAACTTGAAACTGACTAAAATATGTGCAAGTAAAAATGGGGTTATAAAGGTTTAAAGAGGAACAAGCAACAAAGAAGATTTGATATAAAAAGAGAAGAAGATGAAAAAATAGAAAATACTTAGGATTAGAAGAAACAAATACTTGAGGTTATTACCCCCAAAAATGTATCATTTACTCTCAGACAAATTTCCATTGATTCTAATTTGTCTGAGAGTAAATGACATTTCTTTTTAAAAAGCTGAAAGAGAACTGCCTGATTTAAAATTGGAATTTGTGAATTTTGTAAAAAAAATCGCGCATTTCTAAGATTTTTCAATGCAGTGTTTAATGAAAAAATCCTGCCGGGATTCAACGAAAATTGTTGCATACCAAAAAAACCAGCTTTTTATAAAGGAATGACTATGTATGTTGAAGGTTCGCATGTGTATTTGAAGTTGGACATCCATGGTCCAATTACATTTAATATCTCTCTAATAAAAGTTTTAATTTCAGTAGAATTGTGGATTCTTTAAACTTTTTAAAAGTCATTCAAACTGAATTAAGTTTACTGAGTTTTAATGTCTCTATATTCAGAAAAAAATCCTAAAATCCGCGGGTTCCCCTGTTCACTTGATTAATTCTTATATTTCCCGGTTTATAATTATATATACTCTCTTGTTTATGTAGATTCAACAATCCATGTAATTCAACCCTTACTCTTACTACCCTTTCCCCATCTTTTTTTACCCTTCCTCCCCTTGTGTCACATATAAATCTATTTTTTCTAATCTATTTTTAGGATGATATCCCCTTATCCACAATTTACTACAGTGTGAACCAGATAACTCTGGAATAGGAAGACGACATTTGGACTCATGTTATTACTTTAAATAGTCCAATGAACATGAGACACACAAATTGTGGAGTATAAACAGATTCCTTTCACTTAGTAATTGATATAATAAGTTACTAGTTATAAACTATTTACAAATAATCTTAAATAGCACTTAAATGTTGTATTTCTGTTACAGCGTTTTCTGGTTCTCACTGTATCTTTCATATTTCTAACTTCGATATTCTGTATTTACTGGATACAAAATCTGGGCTTTTTGTTTTATTTAAACTTTCCTCGATAAAGTTCACCGTGTCCGTTTTTTGACAAATAATATACTTAGATTTGATACTAAATACTTCAATAACGGTTCCATGAGAATATTAACCCTATAAAGGCGGAAGGTTAATAAGGCTCAGCGTTCTATGCGAATGCAATCCAACTTTTTAATCATAATTTTACAGAGTTGAATATGCGTAAAAGAGTAAGCAAACAAAAATGGTTTTAATCAACGTTAGAAGCACCCTGCCCATACCAACACTTTTTTAAATTCAGGTGGTAAAATTTTTTTTATAGATTATACCAAATTATTTATGTAACTCGTGGAAGTTCAGCAAAATTGAAACTTTGATATAAAACTTATTTATATTACCGTTCAGGTAAAGGAAAATAAATTTAAGGCAATCAGAGCGGTTAATAATAGTACTTTCAAGGCACATTCAAATCCATTATTTTCAAAACTGAAAGTTCTTAATCTTGATGATACATACAAACTTTGTGTTCTGACATTTATGCATGGATACTTTAATGATAACCTTCCCTCTTCCTTCCAAAATATGTTTAAGTCTTTAGCTGAACCGAATAGAATAAAATCATATAAATTAGAACGAGTTTTAAACAAAAATTTAGAAAGCTTTCCGTCCGTAATGTTTACTAAATTGTGGAATGAAATTGAAATTGACCTTAAAGAAACTAAATCTGCAAAAATATTTAAACAAAGAGTAATCAATATTTATCTTAAGAATTATGAGAGGTTTAAATGCGAAAAACCTAACTGTATATCGTGTGAATAATTTTTATATAAAAAAACTAAAATAACTGAAACTTTATAAGCTTATTTCTGTTTCTGTAACTACCATCATTAACACCCTGTATTTTAATTTATCTCTACATAAAAATCCCTCTGATCTCACCCTGCCACAGATCACCTGACAATCTCCTTACTTCCAATCAACTCCTTACCTATCCAAAAACATATCTTGATATGTGTAACCAATTATATTCATTATCGTTAACTAACTTAGGGCCAACCACTCAAAACAACCTACCCTGGTTAGGCGGGTCCAAACTGCATAGTAAATTGTGATTGCTTATTTGTAATATCTCATGCTTTGTAGTTAAATAAGAATATGAATGAATGAAAGCAAAAATAAAAGAGATTATTACTTGATTATAATCCAGGTGGTGAGTGAAAAATGAGACCAATTACGACAATGTTTTTATAAAATAATTGTACTTTTAGTACTTCAGCTTAAATAGTTCTAAATGAATTGTTCGTACTTTGTGAGAGTTTGGAATTGTGTTTAGTCATGAAATTCCAGGAATCTTTCTATTTATCAAAAATCGATATTAGACCTAGCCTGGTAGAAAATAAGAACTAAGTTTAAAACTCCTAACTCAGCACGCTAGATTTGTACCTTGCAATCAGTTAGTCCTAAAAAACATAAGGCAGCTTCTTGAATAGATAACGACCACGACGATTAGAGGGGGGTATCTCATTTTAAAGGCATCACATAATATTTAAAAAAAAGTTGCTTTCACGATTTTTTGGCTTGTTTTTTACTTTTAAATTATGCCATAACAAGGAAAAGCTAAGCTTAAAACAAATACAAATTGTTGAATATTATACATTCAAACGATCCTTCACTAACATTTTCATTTCCTTGTCAATTAAATCAACACTTTGAATGCAGAAAAGGATAAAATAGTTTTGATCCTTTCCAAATCGGACTTTAAAGGGTTGAAAAGATTTTCCAGATTTTAGTTTATTTCCACCCATCATTTGACCGCATCTGATAGTTAAATAAAAATGTTATCAAATCCGTTGCAAATTTGCTCATTACTACAGTTTTCAGGGCATTAAGGAAA